TTCAGGTTTCAATCTTTCCTTTCTCTTGCCCGTATAGTGCTGATGTCGATGGGGCAGCCTACCTGGAAAAGGCATTTAACCTTTGGTAAGGGCTCGGTGAATCATCGAGTGGGCCAGATTTTGGCCTGTCAAATCCACAGCATAACATCAGCACATGCCTTAGCGACCTCCATGCGGTGAACACTTTGTAGCTTTAAGTATTTGTCATAGCATCTTCCCCTAACGTCGGTTTCTGACCTTGGCAGGTTTTCAATCATCTAGTGGTATTCTCGGGTCGGGTTGCCGATGAAATTAACCACCTTTGCTACCACTATGCTCCTCAGGAAGATTTGAATCAAGCTCTCTCTTCCTTGAACCAAGCGAACAGCCTTCTAAAGAATACCCGACGTGAGCTGGAAACGGAGAAGAGAAAATCTCGAGATGAGCCGGCCAACCCGCAGAGGAGGCTTGATGAGGTCAACGCTCGGCTCTCTGATTCTGAATTCTTGGCCGGGGAATTAAAAAAAACCCAGGAGTACGTCGATTTGCAAAACTCTACCCTGGAGTGTGGCGTTTGTGGTCTCTTCACCAAGTTTCTAATAAGCACCCCGATATTGACTACTTCTTCCTCCTGGAGTGTTTTAAAGCTGAGCATAAAGCTTCTAACGACATGGATGACGACGACGATGAGTAGTAGGGTAGCCTGAGAGGGTAGCGAGTAGCTTTGCCTGTGTTTAACGATTTTACGAATTTTATGGTGTTGCTTTGTCATTATCTTCATTTGTATTTCTTTTTGGAATCATCAATTAACCCTCTGTTACCAACAATTATTGGCTTACGGCGATGGAGTGATGGAGTTGACTTCGTTACCTTTACTTTCATAGTTTCTAACCCCTTGGCTATAGCCAATGGTTTTTCACCTGCTGTCGTTTGGCTTTTGATTTTACCCCATCTTATGTTTTAACCGTGATAGGTCAATTGATCCGCTTCTAGTTTGGCCGTGTTGAGATTGTTTAATTGTTCTTTCCAACTTTGTCGATTAATGTAGATTTTTGCCATAATTGTAGTCTCATCGCACCCTAAGTAACAGAAGAGAAGAAAGTCAAATCTAGCAATGGGCCAAGCCTTGTTAAGCACTGAGCAGGGGTTGGGTCCGAGCCTTGCTTAGTTTGGGTTGGCTTTACCAATTTGGCTCATCGAGTCTTCTGATCGTGACCTGTCGTTCTTATCTCATAGTTATGTTGCCCCTTACTGTCAAGATAGTGTATTGTCGATTTTTGCTCCTTGAGAGTATTTTTGTAGATGGGACAGAGTGCTTTTATCAAAGTCACTTTGCATCCAGTTTTGGATTTAGAAGACATAGTTGATAGAGAACCCAAATAATGGATACTTTATTGAATATGAAAAATAAATAATCTAAAATCTCCATAAAACCAGAAAAAGAAACAATCTTAAATCCATCATACTCGTTAGTTGAAGGGAAAGAGGAAAGAAAAGAAAATATCAATGGCCACCCGCAGTAGAAGCCTTGTCGTTGCCCCTCATTGAAGTGTAATAACACTCACGCAATACTTGTTGCTCTCCTTTGATCTCACCGATTCCACCAGGTGGTGGGAATTTCATAGACTGGTTATATGTAGATTGTATTGCCTTGAGCATGTGCATTGTTGGTCTTCCTAATACTCTTTGAGATACCCTCTCCGAATGAGTCATTCCACTTCTTCTTTGAGATCGAAGCAATCCTGAGTGGCATGACCGTGGTCTCGATGGAAAAGGTAATATCGCCCTTTACTTCTTTTACTTGGAGGTGCTGTCATCCTCTCCGGCCACTTGAGCAAGCTTTGGTCCTTGATTTCCATCAATTCCTACTCAAGTGGGATCGTGGTTGGGTTATATTTCTCGGACTTCCTCTGAGGCGGATCCTTCTGGCCAATCCGATCTCTTTCTCCCACCTCGACGACTGTGGCTTATCCCCAGATCTCTCCCTCTTCTTGTCAGACCATTTTCCCTCTGGTTCTTTCTTTGAGTGGAAGAATTCTCCTACACTCATGTATTTTTGAGCTCGGCTCAATGCCTCTTAGAATATGCTCGACATCTTCTT